GGGACATGAGAGCAACTTCGAATATTATTTACGTTTTTTCAAGATCCAAATAAAGCTTAGCCACAAACAAATAAAGGTGAATCTTCAGCAATTAAATTAGAAATGATGCCTTTTCCTAAGTATTTTTATATCTACTTGTCACTAGTTCATACCTTGTCAAAAAGTATAATTTGATAAGCTTCATTAGCTAATGATTTAAGTGATCTTCTTTAAGAAAAATAAAAGATTGATCTTAAGTTTGAATCATTGGATATGCAAGTGGATGCTTAAGAGATTTAATTTCACTAATAGAAACTTAATCAAGTTGGTATTCACTAACTTAAAATTCTTAATTTACGATCAAAATTAAAAGTTCAGCCTTCTATATTACCAAATACCTAATCTTTTGATGTACAAAAAGAAAAAATAACAATTTAACTTCAATTTTTCTTGGTTGTTGACAAACTCAAGACTTTTTAAAATTAGAAGGGTTGAGATCAAAACGTAACTTAATTCTTCCAAATTTTACATATAATCCCTCTAACAAATAAATTAATGTGCTCTGTCAAGATTGAAGCTCTTGATCCTTATCCAAAGCCTAAGCTTCTCTGGAAAGATAGGGAAAAAAGAAGGAATCATAATTCATAAACCTAATGGTGTAGAATAAAGCTACTACTCACTTCCACCCAACCTAAATTGGACCCATTAATAAATGGTTTGAGGACAAATACACTACTAGTTTTCAAGTCCTTTTATTACTGGGTTTCTCATGGTCCCATTCCAGCATTCTTGTCTCGAGATCTAGACCTACTAAACAAATGCCCAGGCATCCCACAAGGATATGTTAACAACAAAAAAGCCAAATTGAATAATTGGTACTACTATATGATTGATTAGGTGACAACATCAAATAAGCAAGAAGTGTTTCTTTTTCTTTTTTGATATGTAGGGCTCAAAAAATCCTTTAATAAGATGAGTGACTACAAGACCCAAGCAGGGAAAAGCGAACAGGCAAGTAACCATACCCATTAACCAAAAAAAAAAAAAAAAAAACCATACCAAGTCCCACTAAATTTCTCCTGAGGTTGAAAATACTTTTGACCTGATATAAAGATCAAACCAGACTCGAACCAAAATACTTTGGGTTTCATTTCTTTTGTTTGCTTTGATTTTATATTAATTTAATCAAATTTCTTGTTTTATGGTTTACATTAGATAATAAATTAAAAATTGTTGAATGAAGGAGACAATCCCTAATATATAGAGACTTAGGGATGGCAATAGGATTGTGTAAGGCTAAGAGTGCCTCTCCATTCTTGTCGCGTCTAGAGTGTTTGATAGGATTGAAATTTTTTGTATTCATATTATTAGTAGAGATTCTCAATCTTACCAATTTATATTATAAAATTAATTTAATTATTTTTATTTTATTATCACCTTAAAACAAAATGCTTTAAAGAGTCGAATTAAGAAAATAAAATTGTTGGGTTGACTTTAATTTTAAGTTAATAAATTTTACTATTAAAGTAAAATTTAAAACGAGTAATGATATGATCTATTACTATGATAAATTGGATTAAATTCAATATTTTTTTATACATTTTTAATATTTCACAAGAACTAGATTATTGGGGGACTGGCGAGGCAATAAAGATTCCTAGTAAAATTCATGGAAAGAAAATGCCATTAAGAAATTTTTTTTATTTAATAATTTAAATTGTCAATTTTTTAATTTAATACCAAAGGACGAAGTGAATTTTCTTTTGAAGTACAGAAAAAAGGGTAAAAATTATCGAGGAAATGAAAATGGCAGTGTAGTAGACTGAAATTCCGCCACGGTACGACGTGATCATTCCCCTTCAAGTGCGAGCGTTTATTTCTGCATTCAATATCCTGCTCCTCCTGCCTGCAATCAGTGCTCGGTACAGAACAAAGAGCTTCACGACAAAACAACATCAACTAAACTCTGTACAAGACGACAACACGCCACTTCAGTTTTATAGAAAAAACACACACCTTTTAACCCTTTTAACTGTACTACAATTTTACAGGCCTAAAATCAAATCAAATAGAAACTGTGTACTCTCTTCTGCCTTTCATTCTCTTTCTTTAAAAGGCAGGAAATTATACCCTTTTTAACCCAAAGGCTTATGCAAAAGCACTGCTCTGAAACTGAAGAAAACCCATTTTAACAGATTTAAAGTTTTGTGTTTGTGTTTTTGCCTCGGAGAGAAAGGAGGACATTTAATTCATGGTGATTGTGGCTTTCCCTTCGTAGGGAAAATCAAAATGCTTATACCCATTTCAGGCTGAAGCTCCAAAGGCATCTAGATACTAAAAATGGCAGGGCAGCTCTTGGTTTTTGGTCTTCACCATGTGGGGTGCATGTGGGGTATTATTATGATGGGTTTGCAATCATTCAACTGTTTTTCTTGTTCAAGCTCGTAAGCAGAGGAGAACAAGAGAAAAGGACAAAAGAAAATGAGAAATCGAGTGTCTTCTTTTGAGAGAAAAAGAGAATTGGAATTTTATTGCTATGTAATGGAAGCTACAGAGATTTAGAAGGCAAAGAACTTCAATTCCCCTGCGAGTTGTGTGTGTGGATTTAAGTTTTGTTTTTTCGTTGATCTGTGTGAAGGAAGCAATTCAAGGTTTTCTGACGTTCATCATTTCAGGTGAGTTCAAGTATGCTTTTGATTTTGTTTCGTCTTCCTCATGCTCTGTTTCATGATGACCTTATTCATTGCTCTGTTTTTTTTTGTTTTTACAGAGTTATGCTGCGGAATAGGTCTAGAGCAGTAACCTCAAAGCAAGCTTTAATGGCGGATCACAGCCCTCAGTCACCCTCTACCCAGAGACCCAGTCCATCTTTCTTTGGTTCTCCTAGATTCAGAGCTTTTACTACAAAGGGTCTCTTTGAAGCTGAAGCTGTGATGAGTCCAACTTCGATTCTTGACTCTAAACCCTTCTTGCCTTTTTGTAATCCCTTTGGTTTCGATTTAAACCACTCGAAATCCCCAGAAACTTTATCGGAAAACAAACAGAATTCATTGGAGAAATTAGACCCGAAAGGGGTTGGTCTTGCTCTGATCGACTCTCCTATTGGAGACAGCAATTCTTCCGAGCAGAGTAATAAAATGGTTCTGTTCGGAACCAAACTCAGAGTTCAAATTCCTCCGTCGTCCCTCACTGAATCTCCGAAATCTCCCATTGATTTCGGAATCAAAACGAGGAACTCACAATTCCATCCCAACCCCGGTACCCCAACAACGAATTCTCCCCGGATTTTCACCGGAGGTCTCCCAGTAAGTGAGATGGAGCTGTCAGAAGATTATACATGCGTGATATTACACGGGCCAAACCCAAAAACCACCCACATATTCGACAACTGCATTGTAGAGAGCTACTGCGTTGTTCCTTCGGTAAAGTCCCAGCCTCCACCGGAGAGCTTCCTCAGTTGTTGTTACACATGCAAGAAGAATCTTGAACACAAAGACGATATTTACATTTACAGGTTTGCTTCATCTAAACTTCCTTAGTTCTGAATTCAATCTCAAAATTCAATCTTTTAGGCTAAACTTCTTCATCATCGATGCAGAGGAGAGAAGGCATTTTGCAGTGAGGAGTGCAGATACCAAGAAATGGTTTCAGATGGAATGGAGAAATAATTAATCAAAGATTCAAGGAACCGAGTATTAATTCTAGTAATGCTTAGAGATACTGTTAGTTCAGGATGATTGAATTTAGAAACCAAAGATGGTTAGAATTTTCTGCGTGCTTTTTTTTTTTTTTTTTTTTTTTTTTTTTTTTTTTGTGTTTTCTCTTTCCATTTTACTGTTAATTTTGTGCCTCTTTTTCACCCTCTCCACTGCAGATAGATAAGAGAGGATTGGATTATTTATAGACTTTTTGGAATTTTATTTTACTTTAACATAGCTTCTTTTCTCTCAATAGGTGATGATGGATGATTGAAGACTCCGGACGCCTTCTTTTTTTTTCTATCTATAAATATAAATACTTTTTTTTTATAGAAGTTCATTAGCAAATATTAAGAATTACAAGTCTGATAACAAACGAATACAAAATATTTTAAAACTCTTACCAATTCTCGCTCAGTTTTGCCAATATCTTTTATTCTATTGTCGGTCTAAGCAAGTAAATAAATAGTATGAGGAAACCTCAAAACCATTGTACAATCACTCAGGAAAAGAAAAACTAGAAACTGGGAGGTGGAAAATTTTCCACCTCCTCAATTACCAACTTGCCCATCCCTCCTCCATTTTAACTCTTGTTGTCTAACGGTTCATTCTCAGTGATCAAACCTTGCCTCTTACCCGCTAGATTGCATCTTGCACTTGTATTTACTAGCTCCCCTTGCTCTCTAGCCAAATGTTTCCATGGTTTAGTGGGAGATTTGCTACTGCATGCACTCTCCTACTTTGCCCATTGCAAATCGACATTCTCCAAACTCTGCAGAATTCTACACCTTCTATCCTCACTTGAACTATTCTCAGCACTCGTCGACACGCCATCTGACTCCAGCAACGCTAATGCCTCCTTTTGGACCCCGGTCTCCCTACACATCCCCTTCCAACAATAATTCTGTGCAAAATAAAGGCGATGCTCCCTTCCTCTCCAACGTTAACCCATCTTATTTCAACCATAACCGCCCAAGGCATCGCACAACCACCCACCATCATTCGCTGTCACTCCAAACCTACTTTCTCGTGGATTAAAATGAAGCCATTCCCCACAACTGCCGCTCAGATCCACCACCATTCTCCACCATGGTCCTCTTCTCACAATTTACTTCCAAATGATCTAACAAACCACATATATAACAGAAGTTATAAAGCTACTAATGTTGAAACCGTACCCAGACAGAAGATCCTCCTTCCAACGGAAGCTTTTTCCTGCACAACAAAGGGCGACCAACATCGACTTCCATCCGAACCCTCAAAAAATTGGAAACCCACATATGTCCTTCCCCCGAATCCATTGCCACCAGGTTCCCTATAGATACCGAATCATACGAGCTGTAGCAGCGGAGAGGTGACAAGAGGAACCACCATAGATGATCCAAAAAGGAATCCTTCCCAACATATCCCTTCTCGGAACCTCATCCCCCATTACCTCCCAAGTAACCACCATATTCTTATCAAAATGCCAAGGCCCATCCTAGCTACAACACCCTCTCCACATCCGATCTCTGGAAGAACTGAAACAGAAACAAAATTTTCCCTAACACCTGCACATGCATCCCTCGAATAGGCCTCCAAACCGAAGCAAGAGTCTTCTCCATCACCAGCACATAGGACCTTCTCCTTGTTAGCATTGTACCAACCATATCCCAAAAGCCAACCACTCCTCTACCCTCGCCATCCACTGGAATCTCCTCTAGCTGCAGCCTATAGTTCTCATCAGTCGCATTCCAGCCACGTTTCCAAACACAGCACTCCTCACTAAGAAACTGCCACACAGCATGAAAAGCAACACTACCCATTCACGCGTAAATAGGATCCGATATCCCATCAATGCTACAACTCCAATCCCCAAAGAAAACTCTAACCCCAACTCAAGGGAAAGTTCCACGCCACCTTGCTCTAGAATTTTTTTCTTTTCTATATTTATTTCATTGATATTAGTGTTTTCTAACATCAAATTGCATAAAAAAAAAAAAGTGCAGTGTGAATGTTAATATTATTAAAATATTATTAATAAATAGATATATAAAAGAATTTTACTAAGTGTGTTTTGATAATTTTAGTGTTTAATTTTAATTTTTATTTTTATTTTTTTGCAGTTTGTGTGACAAAAACATTTATGTTTTTCATTTATCAATCATCATGCATATATGTAAGTATAGAGGGGAAATAATAGGATTTTATAATAAGTTATATAACTTATCAAACAACTCTCAATTTTAAAAGTAATTGTCATTTTTAAAATTATTTTCACCTATATTTATTTTAAAAATAAGAAACAATGTCTATCTTTTTTAAGAAATAAAAAAAAACCTGCAATTAATTTTTTTTTTAACAGTTTTTACAAGGGCCTGAGTCGAACCCAGGCCAGGGAGGTGGGGGAAGTGCACCTGAAGTTGCTATTATCACTTGGTACGAAGGATTAGGTGCAAAAAAACCCGCAATTAATGTGGACAAATTTTGAGTAAAAAAACATAATTATCTTGGGATAGGAGTAAACAAAAAAAATAAAATAGAGCAAGTGTGAGCCTTATATATTTATTTTTTCAATATTTATAGTTGGAGCATCCCTAAACTAATTTTCACATCCCTCTTGACAATCTTAAGGGGCACCTTATTTAAATTTAGTGTATTAAAAGAATTAATTTTTTTAAATGTTAATTTAAATTTTAAATTTTAAATAAAATAAAATAAATTTAAATTTTAAACCTTACTTACAGCACACTTATATGTAAATCTAAGGTAATAAGCTATATAAGGGGATATCTTTGACACTAATTAAGATTCTACGTCAACTATGTCGCCGTGATATAAGATAATTTTTATTTTTTTAATCAGCTAGATAATTTTTATTTTTTTAATCAGCTAGATAATGTTTATTATTATAGAGGGGAACCAATTATTTGCTGGAAGAAGATTGTCAACCCTCATGTGGAACTTTGATATCTTATCCTTTTGATCACATACATTTGTCCAATTTGGTTGCGCAATGAAACATGTACGAAGAAACGGGTTTAAAGTTTAAACTCTAGGAAATATTATATTGCTGCATGTGGAAGGGACTTGTTCAAAGAAGGGTTAGAGCCAACTGTAGTCCCTCTACTTTCAATTTTCATTCATTGTCCTCCCTATACTTTGAAATCGTTCAAAGACCTCCCTCTACGCTACTCTCTCAAAACATACTAATGTCCTCCCTCTACTTTCAATTTTTATACTAGTTACCTCTTTCACCTAATACCTAACTAACACCGTTACTACCTCTCATGTAACGGAAGTTTTTGTCGTTAAACCTCCATCCATTCCATCCATTAATTATTATTATTATTATTATTTTTTATGAATTTCAATTGTGAGCCCCATAAGTTTCATGTCACTTGTCATGTCACCAACCTAGATCTACCCCTCGACTTATGAAAGTAATACATATATACACAATTTATTCTTACCAATATGGAAGTTACGCCTTTAATGTTGTTTACTAAATGATTAATCTAAAGGTATACAAAAATTGACTTTGAAATATCTTAATCATAAAAAAAAAAAAAAGAAAAAAAAAAGAAAAGTAGTTCTTCAAATAAACTATCATGTATTGATCAATGGATTTATTTTTTATTTGCATTGATCAAATTTATTTTCTATAGAGAATACAATAAGAGAAATCATAAAGAATTTATTAATTTTTCTATCACAATAATCGTATAGAGTCAAACAAGTAGGGTTGGACATTTAGCTTGGATTATTTGAATCAAACCGAATTTTTGGTTATCTAAAATAATTTTGGATAAGACTTTTATTCTCAATTCGAACCAAATTTTGAATGTGGTAATGTCATAACTCAAATTTTAGTAGAATTTTATTTTATTTTTATTTTTATTTTAACTAATATGTTTTGTCTTTATTTTACTTGTTAGGTTCATTCAAAGAAAAAAAGGGGGGGCAAAAAGGAAATTTTACGAAGAAGATTGGAAAAGAAGATGAGAAAAAGGACTCAATTGAGGAAATGAAAAGTTTGAGGGGTGAAATGCAAAGTCTAGCCGAAAACCCATCAAACCCAATCCAAAACCCACCAAACTCAAACCCAATTACTCAAAACCCAAAACCCAGTTAACAAAAATAAAAAAAATAAAAAAAAATAAAAAAAGAAAAGAGAAAAAAAAAAAGAGGGAAATAAAAAAATGTATCTGGAACCTTCTTCCTCCTCACCCGAATTTCTCCTTTTCCTTCCCTTCCCAAAACCAGCCAACAGCTTCCTCCCAAACCAGCCGGCGGCCACGTGCCCAGCCATCACCATGCCCTACTCCCCCTCTCACCGAGCCTGTGCCCCTACCTCCCCTTTTGCGCGAACCAGCTCCCTCTGCTCTCTGCGCCCAATCACCAGCCCTGCACTGAGCCCGCCTGCTGCACCAGCTATGCACGCCCGAGCCATCATCGCCCCTCGCACGCCCGGCCTTGCTCTACCCTACCCCCTGCCACACCTGCGCCTCTGCTGCTGCACCGAACCAGCCCTGCACTTACCGCCTGCACCGTGCCTTCTGCGCCCAGATCCCGGCAATCATACACCCCTACATGCCTGAGCCCACTTCCAGCAATCATACCTCCCCTACACACCAACCCAGATCCCCTTTGCTCTGCTCCCCCTGCCCTGCACCGAGCCCAGACCCCTAGCCCTGCTGCCTGCGCCCCTACTGCTGCACCCGAGCCTGCAACCGCCTGCGCCCCTGCTGCCTACGCCCTTGCTTGCTCTGCACCCGAGCCTCGCTCTGCACCAGATCCCCTTGCCGCCTGCTGCGCCGAACCCACGTTGCTTGCACGCCTGCTCTCTGTGCCAGCATCATGACCCTGCACCGAGCCTTGCTGCACCCTTGCTGCACCCCTGCTGCTCTGCCTCTGCACGCTACAGCAGCTCCAGATAAATTAGCATTAATATTGATCGACAGAGCAAGGCTTTTTTTTTTTTTTTTTTCTTTTTTTTTTCTTTTTTTTTTGTGTATATATATATAGAGAAAAATCAGATTGAAAGAGGGGTGGTTGGTTGATTTTGGGTCTCGTTGTTGGGGAGTTTCGTCTGAGTTTTTGAGAGCAATAGAAGGGGATTTTTGGAGCTCAGTTTTTGGGGGGTTTTCTGGTTGATTTTCGTGTTCTTCTTTTTGGGAGCTGGAAGGAGTTTTCTTCTGGTTTTGAGTTTGGTGTTGACGGCAGAGGAAAGGGAATTTTTTCTGCTAGAGGGAGCCTGTTTTGTGAGAAGGGATTGTCAAGGTTGCAAGAGGGATTCTATTTTCTGGAGTGGCTATACTTAGGTATACCTCTGAACAGAGAATTTTTGTTAGGAAAATGGTGAAAGAGATGGTGGAAGCTTGATCCCGTGGGTGGGATCCCTTCCATCAGATCCAGATCCGTTTTTCTTAAAATTCGCCGTGTTTGTCTTTCTGTGGGTGTTTATTTTTTTTATCTGATGTTAAGATTGAATGTGTTTTCTTGAAAAAATGAATGAAAAGCCAAAAGAAATTATCCAGTTCTTCTTTATCTGATGAATGTATTTTTATTTTATTTTTCTTTTGTTGTTTTTTTTGGATTAGATGTATATTCTGGAGGAGCTTTGTTTGGAATCCGATGAACTCTGGTTTTCTGGTTTTGTCTGCATGTTTTTAATCTTTTCTTTGCTTATTTTCTCACTTGAATTCTGTTTGTGGGTTGGGTTGACCCGACCCAATCCAATAGGTTAATTATATAAAAAAAAACTTAAAAGGTTAAAAAAAGTAAAAAAAATCAAAAGTTATCTCTTTTATTTCAATTTCGCACAATCTGTTCATGTTCAAGCATTTTAGTCCAAAAATTTTAAACTTTCTCAAATCAGTCCTTTATTTTTATTTTAATCAAATCAGTCCATTTAATTTTTATTTGTGTTTATTGTGCATGCATATTCTTGATTTTGTCTATTTCAGTCCAAAAATAAAAATAATGTTTTGATTTGGTCTATCTCTTTTTTAAGTTTGCTTATTAAGACTCAAACATAAATATAATAAATAAGTTGAATTAAAACCTCAATTTTAAAGTATGCAAATGTGTTTAAACGGAGGATTATGATGTGCGCGTATGTCTTTTCTCACTCCTAATCGAACTTTCGAACCTCGATCTTTGTGCAGACTTGTTTTAGGTGACTTGTCCCATTTTATAATTTGAACGAGTGGCGACTCTCTTTTTCTTATATATTGTCACACTTAATCCCTTTTTAAGTAGTCGTCAACAGGTAATAATTTTGGTTATCTGAAATTATTCAGGTAATTTGGTTAATTAACTAAAATAACCAAAATATACCATTATTCTTCACTTTTTGTCATTGAAAGTTTGTTTTTTGTTTTCTAATTTTGATTATTTCTAGTCTTTTTCTTTCATATTTCTATATATAAATTTGACTAAATCCAAAAAAATTTCATATAGCACAAAAACTAAAGTAAAAAAATAAATTAAATTTATACTAAAACATTTTGAATAATTTCACATAATTTGGTGTCTCATATTAATTTATTGCCACATGTTTTCTTTCTACTAACATTAAATCTAAATATTTGGATTTGTCTTAGACAAAAAAATTACACCCAAGTCAGTCAATGATATGAAACTAATAAGTGCAGGGAAGACTTTAGATAACAACAAAATAATTGGCCAGTGTAATACCATTTGGCTAGTTACCAAAGGAGGTTATCACGATGCATATTGTGGTGTAACCAACTCTTGAATATTAGTCAATCACCAAAATCAAAGTAAGCATTCTAAAGTAATTAGCATAAGATTACTTCTTCTTTTTCTTTTTTTTCTTCTTTTTTTTTTTAAGTTGGCCGCACCACAACATGCATGATGATAACCCTCTTTGGTAGCTCACCAAATAGTACCCCGCACGGCCAATTGTTTTGTTATTATCCAAAAATTTCCCAATACTTATTAGTTTGACATCATTGAGTAACTTGGCTGCAATTTTTTTTGTCTAAGATAGATCAAAATATTTAGATTTAATATTAGCAAAAAGAAACATGAGACACCAAATTATCCAAAATTTTTTGGTATAAATTTATTTTATTTTTTATTTTAGTCTCTATGCTTTATGAAATTTTTTTAGATAAAAATCTTTTTTAGTCAAATTGATATATAGAAATATAAAGAAAAATATTAGAAATGATCAAAGTTAAAAAAAAAAAAAAAGCTTTTAATGACAAAGAATGAAGAATAATGGTATATTTCGATTATTTTAGTTAATGAACCAAATTATTCGAATAATTTTCAAGAACCAAAATTATAACTAAATTAAAATTTTGGTTTAAATTGGGTATAAAAGTTTTATCCAAAATTATTTTAGATAACCAAAAATTTGACCCTATATGATTATTATGATGTATAACTTAATGGATTTTTTTATGATTTTTTTACTGTATTCTCTATAGAACATAAATTTGATTAACGTAATTAAAAAATAAATCCATTGATCAATACATGATAGTCTATTTGAAGAATTACTTTTCTTTATGATTATTATTTTTTTTATGATTAGAGTATTTCAAAATCAATTTTTGTATACCTTTAAATTAATCCTTTGGTAACCAATCTTAAAAGCATAACTTCCACATTGGTAGAAATAAATTGTGTATGCATTATTTTCATAAGTTTGGGGGTAAATCTAGGTTGGTGACATGGAAAACACATGGAACTTATGAAGCCCACAATTAAAATTCATCAAAAAAAAAAAGAAAAAAAGAAAAAAGGATGGATGGAAGTTTAATGGCAAAAAACTTCTGTTGCATGAGAGTTAGTAATGGTTTTAGTTAGGTGTTAAGTGAGGGAGGTAACTAGTATGAAAATTGAAAGTAGAGGGACGACACTAATATGTTTTGAGAGAGTAGAGGGA